GCCGGGGGAGCGCGAGCCCCGCTGCCTGCGCCCCGCGGCCCTGACCGCCCCGCCCTCCCAGGCGCCTCCCGCGGCCAGATGTTGGATGTTGGGCCGCGTCTGCCGGAGGAAATCTCGACCCCTCCGCCCGCCGGGGAGTCCCCGGAGCCAGCCGGGCGGGCCGCACAAACAGGAAACCCCGGCCGGCCGCAGGGAGGGTAGAGGGGCCGCGTCCACGCCAGCTGCCCAGCTGGGTCAGCAGGAAACGCTCCGGCCACTTCCCCTAGACACCCGGACAGCCTCCGCCCTGTGGTCCCGGAGATGTCCATTCTCTGCGCTTCCATACTGCAGCGGGGTGGGGAGGAGGTTCCCGGCCGCGGTGCTGTACGCCTGTCATCCTGGGGATCTGGGAGGCTGAAGCAGGAGGATCCCAAGTTTGAGCCCAGCCTAGGCAATTTAGTGACTTGGTGAGACCCTGTCTCAAAAAATAAAGGCTGTGGATGGTGCTTTGTGTGGAGGCCCTGGGTTCAACTCCCAGTACAGCCGAGAGAGGAGAGAGAGAAAGAGAGAGAGAAAAGGAGAGAGAGAGAGAAAGGGAGAAAGTGCTGGGGTGGGGGGAAGCACCGAAGTGCGTGCTGCCCCCTGGGGGCCAGAGGAGGAACTGTCCCCACCAATATGAGGAAGCCTTGAGCTGCCAGTCTGTCCCACCGCTGCTGGGACCCCTCTCTCTGGCTTTCTGCTCCACCCTGCTGGCTTTCAACTTGCCCGAGGCCTTCAAGCCCCAGGGTCTTTACATGGGCTGTTCCTGCTGCCCACAGCGAGGTAGAAAATCATCACGTTTAAAAGCCTCGCATCCACGAGGCCCTGAATGTAGCTCCTGGTACCAAAAAAAAAAAAAAAAAAAAAAAATCCTTCCATTTAGCTGGGCGTGGTGGCGCACGCCTGTAATCCCAGCGCCTGGGAGGCGAACGCATGACGGGCTCAAGTTCGAGGTCAGCCTGGACTACATAGGGAGACCCTGTCTCAATAAAAACAAAAGAATACTCCAATGTGAGCAGCCCTCAACTGAAGGGGTGTTGCCTGGTGCAGTTTTCCCTGCTTCACAGATTTTAGATCTCTTCTCTAGCACCAGCTAGAGTATCACCCGGTCAGGGAGCTGCATGCGCTCTGAGCTGTTCGTGTGAACTGGCTGTGTCTGCCTGCCTGCCTCTCCACCCTCCGGTGCCTCTCTTCTGACTTCTCAAGCTTTTATTTTTAAAAAATTCATTGTCGCCAGGTGTGGTGGCGCATGCCTGTAATCCCAGCACTCGGGAGGCTGAGGCAAGGGGATTGTGGAGAGTTCAAGGCCAGCCTGGGCTACAAAGTGAGCTCAAGGCCAGCCTGAACTGCGTAGCAAGACCCTGTCTCAAAAAGACAAAAAAAAAAAAAAAAATGCATTGTCATAAAAGCCGCGTCCTGTAGAAGATTATCACTGTTGCCATCTTTAAGTCTACAAGTTAATGTCCTTGAGTACAGTCACAAGGCTATGCAGCCGTCCCCACTACGTAGTTCCAGAACATCCCATTGCCTCAGTGGGAAGCCCTGTCGGTCCCATGAGCAGACACTCGGCCCTTCCCCAGGCACAACACCCGAGAGTCCACTTCCCATCTCTGGTGTCCCCTGTCCTGGGCGTTTCCTGTCTGTGGAGCCCACCTGTGTGTCTGTGTCTGGCGTCTCTCACTGAGCACGGCGTCCTCCTCGAGGTCCATTCACGCTGCAGAGTCATAGTCCTGTCCCTCTTCATGGCTGTGTACTATTCCAGTGTGGCTGGGCCTTGCTGTGTCCGTTCTTGCCCATGGTACTCACTGCACATTTTTTGGATGATTTGAGCCAGGGCAGGACAGGGCTGCTCCAGGACATCCAGGTTTGGCTACAGCTCTGTCCCGACCTTGGGGCCAACCAGTCTGCATATCCCAGAAATGGGTCCCCATCAGCCTAGGTCCCGTGCCCACCTGCTGACGCCCGCTCTCTCCATTCCAGACACAACTGACTTCCAGGAGAGCTTTGTCACTTCCGGCGTGTTCAGTGTCACCGAACTCATCCAGGTGTCTCGGAGTGAGTGTCCCTGATGTCCCTGTACTGGGAGAAGGCTCAGAGGTCTCCCTGACCCTCTTGTCCTCTTATCCCTGCCCCAACCTGGAGCTCCTAGGAAGGGAGGTGGCCACATCTTCCCAAGAGCCCAAGGTCAGGTCACACATTCGGGCTACCCAGCTCCCAGGGCACGAAATCCAAATGCTGGGTGGAAGAGGCTGAGGCAGGAGCGTCACAAGTGCCAGCCCAGCCAGGCAATTTGGGGACTTAGATCATCTTAAAATAAACACTAGAATAAATAAATAAATACTAGAAAGATGGAGCTCAGTGCAGGGGCCCAGGGTTCCACCAGTGTCACAAAGACGATGAAGGAAGGGAGGGAGGGCGGGAGGATGTCCCACAGCCTCCACCTGCTGGCCGCCCCCCTCCTGCCCTCCGCCTTGCCTGTAGTCCTGCTGGGCACTGCACTTCCTGGACGCCCCTGTCCGGCCTCAACCCTGCCCAGCACCCTCCCTGTCCCCACCCACACAGCCTGGCCTCCACCCCAGGCTCCGCCTCCACCTCTTGGTGTGACTTGGCCTCTCTCTGCAGCCTTTTCTGACCCATAGGCAGAGGCAGGTTTGGGCCTCATCAGAGCCCAGCCAACCTGGGGAGCAGCCCCATTTGGAAGAGGCCCTGGAAGGCCCTCCCCAGCCTCCCTAATGCGCCTCTCCCTTGCCCTGTTCAGCACCCGTGGTGACCGGAACGGGTCCCAACTTCTCTCTGGGAGAGCTGCAGGGGCACTTGGCCTACGACCTGAATCCAGCTAGCACCGGCATGAGAAGAACGCTCCCCAGCACCTCTTCCAGCGGGTAGGTTGCCCAGGTCTCTGAACGCTGCATGATCCCACCCACAAACCCACTCCCTGTAGCCCCAGCTGGCTCATTGCTTCCCTAGAATACCTGTTTTCTTGGTCCACCTGGGCCAGGAAACTCCTATTCATTCTTTAAAACCCAACCCCAGTGCCCCTTCTCCCCAGCCCTGATAGCCCACTTGGGCTTCAGGTCCTGCTGGCCCAGCAAGCCCTTGGGAGCCACCTGAAAACGCAGGCGCAGATTTTTGCTGAGATACGGGGACAGTGGGTTGGTCACATTGCCTCAGTTTCCCCATCTGTAAAATGAGATCGTAATCCTTCCGGGTAGGCAACCTGGGTTTTAGTTTTGGCCCTGCTAGTCTGCAGTGCGACCTTTGTGGAACCCCTCCCGCTTCTGACCCCGGTGTCCCGGGCGAAAAACAGACAGGTTGGAACAGGTGTTAAGGGCGAACAGGCTGAAAGGCCGTGGCTCTCGTGATGTCTCGCGATAGCACCTTTCTAGTCCCACTCCTCCCGGAACCGGAAATTAGCAAAGCCCGCCATCAACGGTTCCCTGTGTCTCCATGGTAACTGCCCTCTCCCTCGCCCTTTAGGAGCAAGAGGCACAAATCGGGCTCAATGGAGGAAGATGTGGACACGAGCCCCGGCGGCGATTACTACACTTCGCCTAGTTCTCCCACGAGTAGCAGCCGCAACTGGACGGAGGACATGGAAGGAGGTAGGGCTGGCGGCGGGGGATGGGGGAGCCGGCCTTCCGGTCGGGGTTACAGCAACTGGGACTACGGATCCCGGCAGGCACTGCGCGGGCGTTTCGAGTAGGAAGCTGGCCTGGAGCCCCGGGGCCCCCTGGGAGTTGTAGTCGAACTGGCTGCGCTTGTTTCGAAATGAAGTTTGGGCTCAGGCGGAGAAGTGCAGAACTTTTCCCTTGCTGGATTTTCCTGTCACCTTCTGTTAAATCCTCTTGACTGTGGGGTTCCTGAGCCCCAGAGTTAACTCAGCAATTCGGATCAGAAGCAGAGTACTTCTTCCTGGGGTCTCCATAGAATCTGTCATCTAGGGGTCCCCACTTCGTCTGTAGAGTCTCAAGTCGCACAGCGCTCCAAAGATTTCCCTTTGGGGTTCCCGCCTCCACCCTAGTTCTCATCTTAAGGAATCCCTTTTCCCTTAAAATTCTGCTTTCTGCCCCGCCTGGTGGCGCATGTCTATCATCCCAGCACTCCAGAGCCTGAGGCATAAGGATCGCGGGAGTTCCAAGGCCAGCCTGGGCTGCAGACTGAGTTCAAGACCAGCCTGCACTGCATAGTGAGAACCTAGCTCAAAACAAACAAAACAGGGCTGGGGATGTAGCTCAGTGGCATAAGCACTTGCCTGGCAAGTGCAAGGTCCTGAGTTCGATTCCCAGTACCCCCCACCTCAAAAAATAGAGTTAAAAAAAACAAAACAAAAAACCATCCCCATCGCAGAAGATTCTGTCCTGTAGCAGGCTGGCTTTGGGAAACAGGTGTGCAAAATGTTCCCTCGATGGGGCTGGCACCCCTGAGTTCTAGAAGCACTGCCCTGGGTAGTCCTTTATCCTGAGGTGTCCTGGCTGGAATTCCCACATCCACCTCCTGGGGGCATAGCCCAGCCCCTGCATTTGCCTGGTGGCCCACACTACCCTCCCTGAGGCCTTGGTTTCCTCATCTACGAGATGGGGAGGCTCCTCCCTGAAGTGCTCCCCTAATAAGCTGTTGTGGGAGTTACGTAGGATTTTTGAGAAGTGTGACTCAAAGGACAGTGTATTCTTTTCTGTCACAGGTACATGTCCAGGTGTTAGCAGCCCTGGAAAATAGGGTGTGAGATTTAGGCACCGGCCTTATGTTCTGCTGAATGTGATTTTTATTCCCTCATGGTCCAAGATGATTGTCGAAGCTCCTGCTATCATGTGTACATTCCATCCCGCCAAAAGAAAACGGGTTGGGGGAAGGAGCATGTCAAGTGTACCCTCTCCCTTTCAAAATTATTCTCAGAAGTGGCATTTGCCTTCTCTGTTTGTCTCTGTGCCCAGGAGCTTGTCACATAGTCAGCTCTGATGGATGCTGGGGGATGTAGTCTTACTGTACGCTGTCACAGTAACTATCAGAATCAGGGTTTCTGTCACTAAGTGGATATCTGGTGACAGCTTCTGCCCTACCGTGGATTGGCGTCTAAAGAGCACCTCACTTCGCAAAGGGGAGCCCTGAGACTCAGAGAGGTGACTTCGCCCCCTCTTGATCACCCCTGCACGGCAGGTGGCCTTGCTGGGACGCAGTCAGGTGGCCTGTCCCCAGGTCCCCTCCGGCCATCTCACCCTTTCACAGGCCCCTCGCCCGCGGACGGGTGGGGGAAGTAGGGTCTCCAGCACATGGCTGCGCCCTGAGCTTCGGCGCCTCTCCTTCCCGCCGCCTGTGTCTGTCCGCGTGGGCATGGCCAGCGTCAAGCTCCATGTGTGGAGGTCACAGGGATCACCCCGATGTCTCAGGCTGAGAAACGGGCTTGAGAAGAGAAGTCTGCCACCACGGCCACAGAAGCCGCCAGGTGCAGGGAGCGGACCGCACAGGTTCCCCGAGGCGTGAGGGGCGCCCCTAGGCTACACCGCATCGCCCGCAGGGTCCTGAGGCCGCGGGGCCCAGCCAGGGCGCAGGGACCTGGAGACCTGCAGGGCTTTGCCCCCCGGGCCCTTCCCCTCCTGGGCACCAAGCGGGACGGCCGTGGCTGCTGAGGCAGGGGGCTCTCTGCGTGCTGCCGGGAGCAGACCCAGGGCCTGAGTCAGGAGGAGCCAAGTAATCAGCTTAGCGGCTGCAGTGAGCGGCTAATTGGGGGCCGTCTAGACAGGAAGCCAGGGTGGGGGAGAAAGGGGAGAGGGAGGAGGGAAAAGAGAGGGGCCCTCAGGGGACACTGGGCCATGTCTGGGGACATTAACGGTTGTCACACCCGGAGAGCGCCTGCTCAGCACCCTGCAGTGTCCAGATACTCCACCCTAATGACGCCACGGCTCAGAGTCACAACACGTCAGGGGAGAAACTTTGGAATAAGACCTTTAGACAGGTAGAGAAAGCTCAGTTGCCGTAGTTGAAAATCAGTGTTAAAAATAATTTCTAAAAGTGTAGTTCTCTGGGCCACAGGTCTGGGTGGGGCAAGTGGGGTGCTTGGGTGTCCCAGGGCCTTGTGTCCCATGCGGGGGCTACGAGCTCAGTGTGATGTGTGGGCTGCATTCTGACTGCCGCCATGTGCTCTGTGCTGGTCTCTGGGTCCCAAGGTGCCCATTTTACAGATGGGCCCACCAAGGCACTAAAGGGCCTGCAGCATCACTGCACCAAGGCAGCCCTGAAATGCCCTTGCTGAGGTCCCAATGCCCCCCAGCTGGGTTCTGGATTAATTTTCAAGGGAGGGGGTAAAAATGCCTGGGGGACCCCAGAATCCTCTGTGCCAATCCCAGTCACCACAGCCTGGCTGCAGCAGGACCCCAGAAGTGTGAGCTGGGCAGTTGGGAAAGGGAGCCGCAGTACCTCCTGGGAAAATGCCGATGCCCCAGAACCTGGAGCGTGGGCGTCGCTGGCACAGTGACAGCTGGCAGTCCTGGGTCACCACGCTCCAGCCCACTTTCCCACACCGCAGCGGGGTGGGAATTCTAGTTTCGCAAACGGGGAGACTGGTGCCCACCTGAGTCTCTCAGCCGTTTCATTCATTTGTTCACTGGGGGCCGGGGCTGCAGCGGGTGGCGGGGGAGGTAGGGAGGCTCCTATGGGCAGGGCGAGTCAAGTTGGCAATCACAAAGGGTAGACTTGGGCAGCCCTGAGCTGACCTGCTGCCCTGGAAGGACAGCAGGTGGGGCCAAGCTGTGACATGCGGGGGCCCTTGTGGGTGACCAGCTACCTGACGCTGGGCTGCGCCACATCCTCTCTGGGTCTCAGTTTGCTCTTCTGTGAAATGGGCTCCCCGCCTGCCTCCGATTTCTGGGCCGGCAGGAGACGGGATGACATCGTCATCATGTTGGTGCCGACTCTCAGTAACATGGCCACCTGTGACTCTCTTGTCCCCTCCCCCAGGCATGTCCTCCCCGGTGAAGAAGACGGAGATGGACAAGTCCCCATTCAACAGCCCGTCCCCCCAGGACTCACCCCGCCTCTCCAGCTTCACCCAGCACCACCGGCCTGTCATCGCCGTGCACAGCGGTGAGGGTTGCCGCGCTGCTCTGTGCCCTGCAGCCAGGGGAGGCCCCCTGGGCATGTGACTAGGAGCACAAGTGCTGCTGCTCCCAGCAGGATGGAGACGCACAGGGGCGCCCTGGTGCGATGTCGATGTCGGGCTGGGTCCCAGCTCTGTGGAGAGCTGCAAGGAGCCCCCAGACCTCAGTTCCCTGTCCGCACTGTGTGAGACCTCACTGGGGCCTTTGCGTCGGGTTGCGCCCGCATTTCTGAGATCCAGCCTGAGGCTTAGGTGGGGGCCCAGGGTCACACAGGTCTCCTCTGTAGGGACGGGAGGAGGAAGACCCTCTGGCAACCCAGGTGTGCGTGCACCTGGGCCTCCACCCCGCTTCTGTCAGCGGGGCGGATAAATGTCCCAGCCGAGGAGCCAGCCAGGCCTCAGGAGTCGTGGGCCTCCCGTGGGGGCGACTCGCCTTTAGGAGGAAGCAGGTGCAGGGAGCTGGTGTGAATCCACAGCCCGCCACAGAGGTGGAAGCTGGCAAACGATGGCCCTTGGCTGGCTGTTTTTGTCAATAAAGTTTTACTGGCACACAGCCCAGCACCTGTGTGTGTCACCTGTGGCTGCTTTTGCACAGGGGGCAGAGTTGGTTAACAGCCCAAAGCCAGAAATATGTACTGTATTCAGGGACAGAGGAGGCAGGGCATGACCGCTGCAGAGAGTACATATGCCGATGGCCACTGAACTGGTTAGGCAAAGGAAAGCAAATGCCACCGTGGACTATTAGTCAGCCAGGAAAAAGAGCAAGGGCCCGACACTCGCCCCAGTGGGGGCGGACCATGAGGACACTGTGCTCAATGAGAGGACACAGAGTGGACTCCATAGACTGGAAACGCCCAGAACAGCCAAATCCAGAGACAGGAAGTGGACTCATGAGTGTCGGACTGGGGAGGGGGCAGGTGACTGCTCAGAGGACAGACAGGGCTTCCTTTTTGGGTGATGGATGTTCTGGAATTAGAGGTGGACGCACAGTTTTGTGGAGGTACTAACCACTGCTGACGTGTACACTGCACAGGTGATTTCAGGGTGTGCAGAGCAGGCAGCCCTCGCTAGCCGGGGGCTCAGCGCACCCTCCTGTCCACCTTTTAAGTCAGCTACAGGCAGCTTCTAACTCCTGCACGGTGAGTGCTGTGTGTGGAGCCAACACACGCAGCCGCAGGGGAAAATCTGTGTGTTCCTATACTGTTTTTTGAGACAGTGGCTGTGTAACCCACACTGGTCTTGAACTCTTTTTTTTTTTTCTTTTTTTTTTTTGTCTTTTGTCTTTTTCTTTCGGTACCAGGAATCGAACTCACGACCTTGTGCTTGCCTCGCAAGCGCTTTGCCGCTGAGCTAAATCCCCAGCCCCTGGTCTTGAACTCTTGATAATCCTCCTGCCTCAGCCTCCCGAGTGCTGGGGTGGCAGGGGTGCACCACCACGCCCAGTTTTGATACATTATTTTTAATTATTTTTTCTTCCAAACATTTTCCATCCAAGGGTGGCTGCGTCCTTGGAGTGGACCCTGAGTGACAGGGGGCTGACCATGTATTATTTCACCTTCTACAGAAAGAGCTCGCTGACCCCTGGGTCAGAGGGTGGATACTGGAGCCAAATTCACTGGGCTCAAGCTCTGGGTCTGCCACCTGTTTGCTGTGTGGCCTCTGACAGGTGCCATATCTTCTATGGGCCACCTTGTCTTCCTCTGTTAAAAAGAAAAATGCATGTGGTGGTGCATGCTTGTAATCCTAGCACTCTAGGAGGCTGAGGCAGGAGGATTCAAAGTTTGAACCCGGCTTGGGCAACTTAGCAGTCCAGTGAGACCCTGTCTCAAACTCAAAAAGAAAAAGGGCCGGAGTTGGAGCTCAGTGTGAGGCCCTGGGTTCCAGCCCCAGGACTGCCAAAATGTAAAGGGAGGGGGTGAAATGAGAGCACCGAGGGGTGGCCATGGGGGTTCGGGTGCCCGCGGCCAATGCAGGTGTGAACCCAGCCTTGGGGCCACAGAGTGGCACCCCAGTGACTGCCGCCTCCTGCTGTCTCTGCAGGGATCGCCCGGAGTCCCCACCCGTCCTCGGCCCTGCACTTCCCCACGACCTCCATCCTGCCCCAGACGGCCTCCACCTACTTCCCGCACACGGCCATCCGCTACCCGCCCCACCTCAACCCCCAGGACCCGCTCAAAGATCTCGTCTCGCTCGCCTGCGACCCAGCCAGCCAGCAGCCTGGACCGGTGAGTGGACTCACGGGGTGGGGCCTCCTGGCCGCCCCAGGTCACCCTGGGCACCCCTGGTGCGTCACTGGGCCACCCTGAAACGCACGACTTCCGTGGGAGCTGGTTTTGTGAACACAGGTCTGGAGTTCATTGGTTTGGGTCAGGGGATTTGGACTTTGCCAGATGTTATGGTTGATGGCATTTAGGGTACAGCAGGGCCCTGCCGGTCCCCTGCAACCTCACATAGTCCAGTGGTGCAGCACACACACTACATGGGGTGGCAGGAACTGCTCAAGAAAAGCAGCCATGCCGGGTATGACACATGCCTGTGGTCCCAGCACTCTGGGAGGCTGAGGCAGGAAGATCGCAAGTGCAAGCCCAGCCTGGGCAACTTGGTGACTTATCGAGACCCTGTCTCAAAATAAAAAAATTAGAAAAGGATTGGGATGGAGCTCAGTGTGAAGGCCCTGGCTTCAATCCTAGTACTCAAAAAAGACAGGAGGGAAGGAGGCAGGCAGGAAAGAAAAACCCAGCCAGACTCAGCCGGAGCCAGGTTTGTCCAACTTCCCTAAAGAGTCTTTGGCAAAAAAAAAAAACAAAACAAAACTTGGGCATTCAGAACTCTTCCAAACTTGAATCATTGGCCAAGGTCACGGCCGACGGTCCTCAGAGCTCCTGAGGGAGCCAGCTGGTGTTTGGTTGGGTACGAGGTGACATCGCCTGGGGGGGACGCAGGTCCGTGCGCAGGTGGCTGAGGAGAGGTATGTGCAGCCCCAGCAGTGCCCAGGGTCCCGGGGACACAGGCGAGGCCGTCCCCAGGCACCTCCAGGGCTGGCTGTTTTCGGACCCACCGGAGCAGTCTCGGGCCTCAGGCCCCTGTGCACAGAGCTGGGGACGCCGGCGCCAGCACCCTGAGGTGGAGGGGACGCCCACCCCCTTAACCGCGTGTCTCTCTGTCCCCCTCAGTTAAACGGAAGTGGCCAGCTCAAAATGTCCAGTTACTGCGTCCCCACCTCGATGCTGGCCCCTCCGCCCCTGGCGCTGTCCCCGGCTACCAAACCCACTGCCACCTCCCAGCGACGAGCCACACCGCAGACCTCGCCCAGTAAGCACGCGGGAGCCAGCGTGCCCCTGCCCCGGGGCCCTCCCCGCCCTGCTGCCCGGCCCTGCGGGCACGGGCGAACTCGGGTCCAGAGAGCATCTGGGGATCCGCGGGGCCGGGACAGCCTCGGGTCGGCAGGCCATGCTACGGCCAGGGTGACGCCCTGGGTCTGTCTCTCACCAAGTTCCCGCCTGGGTTTTTAGAAGTTCCCCTCCGTGCGTAAGCACCTGGCCTAGCACACCTGTCACCCCAGCACTCTGGGAGGCTGAGGCAGGAGAATGGCAAGTTCCAGCCGGGCAATTTAGTGCCTTAGGGAGACCCTGTCTCAAAATTTTCAGAAAGGGCTGGGCATGCAGCTCAGTGTGAAAACCCTGAGTTCAGTCCCCAGCGCTGCAAAAAAAAAAAGCACCCAGGTCTCAGACTGGCTGCCCAAGAGCCCACCCTGGCCCCCAGAAAGCCTTTGTCCGTGGAAAATGAGACCTTCTGCGTGACATTTTTTAAAATACGGGTGTTTCCCGTAAACACGCCTTGGCTCTAGATCCTTGGGGAGTAAAACAGGGCACACAGAGCCCCCGTTCCTTCAGGGCACGCGAGCAGGGCCACACCGCAGATGTCACCGTGTGTGCTTCCCCCACCCCCCACAGGTCCTCCCCCTCCGGACCGCCGTGGCTCCAGGGATCCCAGTTCTGGGCTCTGTCTCAGAGGGTAGGGGGTCCTGTCCCCTCCTCTGGCGGCCCCACCCCAGCTCCCAGGGTAGCTCTGCAGGACGGCTCTCCCTGAACCCCGGAAACCCCCAAAGCGTCCCTCAGTTCTGTGTGCCTCGGGCGGATGCCTTCCCTTTCTGAGCTGCAGGCTCCTGTGCCCGGGACCCTGGGTTGCAGCACCGTCCGGCGGGGGCAAGTGGGTGGCGTGGCTGGGCAGAGCAAGACTCGCTGCGTCTCCACATGCGCGCGTCTATGGCATGGGGACAGCTGGGGCCCCGGGGTGGGGAACGTGGAGGCCCGTGTCGGTGTGGCTCCACCGGGAGCGCCTGCCTGGTGCCCACGCGGCCCGGGTTCTGACCCGGGCTCCTGAGGAACGAGCCAAAGTGACGAATCTGGCCCCGGCATGCAGTAGGTGCTTCATAGATGCAGAGTAAACGCAGATCCCAGCCTTGGCCCTGCCCAGGCTCCAGACCACAAACCCGCCCGGGCCCGTGGGTCCCCGGCACTCTCGGGCCGCCACCAGGGTCCCCGCCTCCCCTAGCCACAGCGTGGCCCTGGGCTCTGAGTTATTCAGTTAAGACCGAGACGACAGGTGAGAGTCAGATGCAGGCAGTAGACTCGCAGGCACCAGCTTGCCCAGGGCTTTCCAGGAGGAAAATTAATAAATAAAGCGCACTCAATAATTCAGGGTGCCTGGTGCGGGATGCAGCCTGGTCAGTGGCAGAATGCGCTGAATAATTCACGGCGGGTTTTGAGTTATGAATTGTTCATTCTCTGCCTTCCCCCACCCTGCCACCTCCCTGCACCCCGGGACCCCTGGAGGCAGGATACCCCGGCTCCCCAGAGAGAGGGCAGTAGGCTTGGAGGCCATGGGAGCTGGGTGCTTCGGGCTGGCTGTGTGACCCCGGGCAGTGGGCACCCTCTCTGGGCCCGGCCGGCCCCCTCGCTAACGGGCTCTGGTCTCTCTCCCCGCAGCCTACGCTCCGCCCGACACGCCCCCTGCAAACCGTTCCTTTGTGGGATTAGGACCAAGGGATCCTGCGGGCATTTATCAGGCACAGGTAGGGGCCAAGAGGCCGGCTGGCGGGGGGTGGGGGGCAGGGCAGAGGGGCCAGCCTGGGGGGCCCCCCCTGAGTCACAGCCCGTGCCCAGGGTTTCCCTAGTGACAGAGCTGGGGAGCCCTTTGTACAGATGGGGAGATCTCAGCCCAGAGAGGGAGTGGCTCTGCCCCCGGTCACACAGCACGCCAGCTAGGACCTTCACCCCACCCAGCCTCCATCTGCTTCCACACCGCCACCCCGCCCCGCCCCCGCCCCACCCCCGCTGTAGCACTGGGGCCAGCAGGGAGACGCCAGCCATGGCAGGGGTGGGACCTCCTGGGACAGTTCCCGACAGGTGACATAATAAGGGTGGCCGTGCACCAGAGGGGGTCAGCCCCCCTAGAGGCAGGCAAGGAGGCTCAGAGAGAGCTGAGTTCCTTAAAGCTGCCAGCACTCAGCAGGGGGTGCTGGGGTCCCACACACAGCGTTGCGAGCCTCAGCTGGTCCTCCCTCCCAGGGAGTCTCCCCCTCTTTTCTAAGGACCCAGCCAGGGTGGAAGCAGGAGGTGTTGGGCTGCTTCTCCTGGCTTTGGGGGAGGCTTGATACGCCGTGGGTACAGGGGTCGGCAGAGACCGCGGCTGCAGCCCGCTTCTGCCTGACCGTCTTGGAGCCTCTGTCTCTTCCTCTGGCCTCGGGCTCCTCCCAGGAAGCTCCCCAGGCGCCCCACAGCCACTGGCTGCCCCCAGCGCAGATGGAGCCCTGTGTCCCCCTGTGTCCCCGCCCTGTAGGCGGCTGGGAATGTCCCGGCTTCGGAAACAGACGCTGATAAAAGGGGAAGGGAGGAGGCCCCGCCTCCCCGAGGCAGCCTCTGCGTTGGACTGCAATTCCCAGCTCCGGCCCGGTAGCGCTAGAGCCAGGGCCGCTGCTGGTGGCCGCTGAGAGGGGTCAGTATCGGGCAGGGGCTCAGCACTGGCAAATGGGGCGGTCTCTTGAGTGTGGAAGGTCCCAGGCAGTGGGCTGGCACGGACAGACCTGCGCTTTCCCCTGGGGACAGCAGGGAGCCACAGATAGTTTTAGAATGAGGGAGGGACACGGCCGGGTCTGGGAGTGGGAAGAACTTCCTGAGGGCACGCAAGGAAGGTGGCAGGTGGTGGAGAGGCGAGGTCCCCACGGTGGGTGTCCAGGGAGGGCCCTGGCGGCGGCGGTGTAGGGCCGCCCTGCAGGCCACCCTCCTGCCGAGGCGGGAGAGCAGCGGAGGAGGGGGCACGGCCGCTGTGCATGATTCCTGCCCCGTCAGCACTTCCGCGCGCAGGGTTATTATTCCTGGCGGCCTCGCTTCCCGGTCCCCTCCTCCCCACGCCCCAGCCTGCCAGCCACGCCGCTCCCGCTCCTGCGGTGCCTGAGCCCCAGCAGGGCCCCTGTCTGTGCCCCGCCCTGATCGGCGCCCCCCGCGATCGATGCCCTGACTTAGACCTCGTCCGTCTCAGTCGCTCGCCCGCCCTGCCCCTCCCCCGCCCTGCCCATCTCCCTGGTCAGCACCAGCTGGCCCCCCCCCCGAGGGTGCCGGCCTCCCCCACGTCAGTCACAGCGTCCCTCGCTGTGCCCCCTCAGTGCTCTACTCCGCCGCCGCCCACCACAGCGCCCCCAGGTAGTGGCCTGCGGGAAAGCCGGGGTTAGAGCCCATCTGGCTGCCCAAGCTGCCCGGGGAAGCCCCGGGCACCGGCCGGCCCCACACTGTGCTGCCTCACCCGCTGGGTGCCCCACCGCATCCCCTGTTCCTGGGGTGGGAGCTGGGCAGACGGCTGCCCAGGAGTAGAGGGGAGGAAGGGAAGGCCAGGGGAGGCTTGGTCCACCAGGAGGGTCACACCCGGAGCCTGTCTGGTTGCCAGGGGAAACGAGACATGAGGTAATGGCCAAGATGAACTTGAACTTGGCTGGAGGTGGGGGGCTGGGAGCGCAGTGGCGCCAGCTCCGTGGAATGGCGGGGTAGCCTGGATGCAGGGGGGTGACAGGCTGGGCACAAGCAGCCTGGGCAGGTGGGGGAGTGAGGGTCCCAGGTCCCGAGGGACCCGACCCACTTGGCTGGACCCACGGGGCGCTCCAGGGCAGGCTCCCTCCAGGGCAGGGTCCCTCAGAGGCTCCGCCAGTGTCCGTGTTCTCTTTGTAAGTAGGGTACAGATGAACCAGGTTGGATTGTCAAGTGCCTGTCGGGGGCTTCTGAGACAGGGTGGCCCCCTAAACACGGCCAAGGGGTCCTGAGGGCCAGCCAGATCCGGAGCCCACCAGACCGGGGTTCAAATCCCTACTCCGCCGCTTCCGGGCTGGTCATCCTGGGGCAAGATGCTTGCCATCTCTGCGCCCTGTGTCCGTCACTGCCAGGGTGACGGGGAGGGGCCTGGTCCCCTCACGGGGGGGGGGGCAGTGGCATGGGGAGGGCCGCTAAGAAGAGTATTGCTGTAGGTGGCCTTGATCACAGCACCAGGGTAAGGTGGCATCCACAGAAGGCCACTCATCTGCCTGTCTTGGGGCCGGGCGGAGGGTGGGACCACACCGTCTTCCCCCTAAAACCTCCCCCCCTACGCCCGCTTTATACGCAGGACAAGGGGGCGCTGAGGCCGGGTTGCTAGAATCGTGGGATGAAAATACAGGACAGTCAGTTCAGTTCAGTTCCGGCTGCGCGGATACTTTTACTATACGTGTATTCCCAAACTGTACCGACGTGCTGTGTCAGCCACATACGTAGACCCCCACAGCTCCTCGGAGGGTCCTGACCGCTGAAGTGGCATAGGATCCGCTGATACATAAGTTCGTCCTGCAAACTGAATAGAGTCTGCTTACACTGAGCCCCCGAATTGTGTGGCTGGACTCACGGGGGAAGTTTATCCCCAAGCTTGCAGGGTTCTCCTTACACGGGGCGTCCTGTGTTTTAGCCACAGCCCTGTTGCGAGCCGAGGCCATGTGGACACACAGCTGCTCACGGGTCGGGAGGCTGTGGGCCGGGCCGGGAAGCTGAGGTGGCAGGGTTGGAGGACGGTGGGCGTGGGGATCAGTCAGTCAATGGTCCAGCCTGACGCCCCACCCCTCTTTCTCTCTCCCTGTTCCCCTTGGCCGCCAGTCCTGGTATCTGGGGTAGCCCAGGTCTCTGCGGGTCCGCACGCTTCTCCTCCGTGATCCTGGGCATCTCGGGGCCTCGACGCCAGCCCCTCTCCCCCGGCCCGCGTTTTCGGTGGAAAATCAGAGTGAGCAAAAAAACACCCTGCCGGCTCCCAGCTCGGCTGAAAAGACAAACTACACAGACCTATGCACGCAGGAAGAAGAGAAAAGAGGGGAAAAGGAAAAAAAAGACAAACAGGAAAAAAAAAAACAACCCACCCAACCAGGAAGACAAAAGGTAAAGACCGCACCGTTTCCAGCTCTAAGGACGCCATGGCTGCAGGACTGGAGGGCCGGGCCCTGCCACCCCTCAGGACACGGTGCGACAGGGGCCTGGCCCAAGACTCAGCTTGCCACCCGCCCACCCGCTGCCCGGGACCCCACGCCATCCGGACACCAGGTGAGGCCGGATGGACAGATGGGGACGGCGCCCCACGGACGGTGATTGCCAAAGGGGGAGGCAGGTGCTGGCTGGCGGGTCCCGAGGACAGCGAAGACCCGGGTCTCGGGCCGCAGAGACCTCCGCGCTGGGCAGGACGGGCAGGAGGGGGCGCGTGGATGAACCGCTGGGACCCAGTGCTGTCCTCAGCAAAGAAGGGCCCAGCCGTGCAGGTACTCGGGACGCTGGGCTGCGGGGGTCCTGCAGCCTCACCCGGCCCCTCCGGAAGGACTCACTCTTGCTCTCTGCAGTGCGAGGGACCCTGATTTGGGGTCCTTATGCTGCCCACCCCATTTGGGAGGAGACGTCTATGCAATTGGACCCCCAGCCCCCCCCCAGCATTGGCATCGAGCCCGCCCCGCCCCGCCCCGCGCCCCAGGCCCCTGGACGCACACTCTCCGCAATGCACTTTCCGAGGGGGCGCTGTCGGGGAGGTGGGTGCCGTCTGGACTGGCAGGTGACAGCAATGGTTTAAGTGCCTGATTCCCCTCTGCCCGCCCCCTCCCTTGGTCCAGTTGGGACCCAGAGCGGCTGCGAGGACATCCTCACGCCCCCCTCCTGCCCCCCATCTCCGTGCCCCCTCCATGCGAGAGAGAAGGGACCCCCTCCCCCAAGGGGCGCACTGGGGCGGGTTCTGGGGACACCCCCTCCCTTGCCTCTCCCCTCCCCTGCCAGTGCCTTACATCCTGGAGAGACGCCCCCCCTTGTGCCTCCCGCCGTCTGGGGGGCGCCCTTTGCACTTTCATCCCCTCACAGTGGGGCACTATGGAGGGGGGGTGTCGCAGCCGGGCCCCCTAGAAGGAGAGAGGCCAGTCCAGTTCGGGGCCCGCTCGGACCCTGGACGGGGCTCCTGGGGGTCGGCCAGCGGGGGAGCTGCCCATCTGCTAAAAGTTTTCCGTTGAGCCGCTCCAAAAACACTAAGCTGGGGACGCCGGGTGCCCCCTGACCTGGCTCCGCCCCAGCCCCATCCGCACCCATCGCCCCAGGGATGAACATCTCGGGAGCAGGTGCCGGGCAGGGGGAGCCCCGGTGTCTCAGACACAGGACCCCTGCCCAGCCCACCCACCCCGCCTCCGCTGCCTCCACCATGCCTGGCGCTAGGGAATATAAACCCCCATGGCCCCATCCTAGGCCAAAGCCATTGTCCAGGGCAGGGGTCCCTGTCTCGTCTGCCCCAGCCCGGCCCTCCTGTCCGTTCCTTGCCCCGGACTCTCCTCCCAGACCAGCCCTGGGCCTCGGACCCACTCGGCCAGAAAGCAGAAGGACCCAGGACCCTGGACCCTGCTGGTCCCTCCCTTCCCCTGTGACCCAGTGGAGTCTGCAACCCTTGGTCCATCTGTCCGTCCGTCCGTCCGTCCGTCCGTCCGTCGTCCTCAGGGCTCTCCACCAGGTGGCCCTGGGGAAGCAAAGGGTGGGCCACTGTCCTGTCCAGGAGGGCAGGGGTTACTTAAGGTCGTGCTGATGTCCAGGCATCCGGCAGCTTCTCAGCCAGGGTGGGGGAGGGGGAGGGGCCACCCCCGGGGTGCACCTGGCAGCCCCCAGCCGGGCCCCACCAAGGGGTCAGGGCATGACCAGAACCAACTCTTTACCTAACTTTGCATGGTGCTTAGGGCCCGGCGACCCGGCTCTCGCCCCAGCCTGCACGGCTGGCGGCCTGCATGGCAGATTATACCTGGCTCTATCTCCCTCCCGCCG